GTGAGAATGAGCAAACTCACATGGCATCATGGTACACGGAGCCATTCCATTGAGGGAAAAAAATATAAGTGTTGCAGTAGGAGACAATGACAGTGTAAGTAAGGAGATAGATACTGTTTACTGCAGCAGTAAGCTGTCATTAGTCCACACTTGATCATCAGTAAAGTGATTGAAGGTACCATCAACAGGGCAATCAAGCAGCACTTGCTTAGCAATAACTGCTCAGTAACTCTTTGTTTGGGTTTCATCATGCCACTCAGCTCCTGATCAACAAAATAGCTATATTCCAGAGGTGGCGGTGAGACTGACAGCCTCCGACATCAAGGTCCCACTTGACAAAGAGTAGCATTAGGGAGCTCTTGCAAAACTGGAGTCAACAGGAATCAAGGGAAAACTCTCCACTGGTTAGAGACATACCTAGCACAAAGGAAGATGGTTGTGATTGTTGGAGACCCTTCATCTCAGCTCAAGGACAACTCTGCAGTAGTTCCTCAGAGTAGTGTCCTTGGCCCAACCATCTTCATCAGTGACTTTCTCTCTGCAACGTTTGGAGGAGGACTGGGGGAGCACATTTAATACAAGAGCTTTATTACACAAGGTGCTCACTCTACAAGAGAGCAAGCTGGACTAAGCTTTTTCCATCCAAAATGGCCTTTGATGTCATGACATGATGTGATCACACTTTTAAATTCACAATCCAACATACTAACATAAGTACACAACACCTTCCATTATAAAAGTCAGAAGTGGGATGTTTGCTGATGACTGCACAATGTTCAACACCATTCACAACTCCTCAGATACTGAAGCACTCCATGCCTAAATACAGCAAGACCTGGACAATATCCAGATTTGGATCGACAAGTGGTAAGTAAATTTACGTCACATAAGTGCCAAACAATGACCATTTCCAACAAGAGAGAATTTAACCATCACCCCTTGACACTCAAGGCACCAACATTGTTGAATTCCCCACATCTTGGGAGTTACCACTGACCAGAAACTGAATAGGAATAAATAGTGTGACTACAGGAAAAGAGTATACACTAGGAATACTGCAGCAAGTAACTCAACTCCTGGTTCTCCAAAGCCTGTCCACATCTATAAGGCATAAGTCAGGAGTGTGATGGAATACTCTTAGTTTATCTTGATGAGTGCAGCTTCAACAGCACTCAAGAAACTTGCTGCTATCCAAGACCATTCAGTCCGCTTGACAGGCACCACATCCAAAAACATCCACGCCCTCCATTATCAACAATATGGAGCATCTATAAGGTGCATTGCAAAAATTCACCAAGGTTCCTTAGCCAGCTCCTTCCAAACACATGACCACTTCCATCTAGAAGGACAACAGCAGAAGAATTGTGGGAACACCACCACCTGCAAGTTCCCCTCCAAGCCAGTGACCGTCCTGACTTGGAAATATGTCACTTTTTCTTCAGTGTCTCTGGGTCAAAATCCAGTAACATGCTACCCAACGACATTGAGAGTCTATCAACAGCAAATGGACTGTAGTGATTCAAGAAGGCAGCTCAGAACCACTTTATCAAGGGTGACTAGGGATAGGCAATAAATGCTGGCCCAGACAGTGAAAACCACATTCCATGAATGAACGAATGACAAAAAAAATTTAAAAAAGACAAACAACCAGCTGTGAGCCTGAACATCTGTCATTGAGAAAATGTTACTGTCATAATAAAAGATATAATACTGAACACTGAGGAATACATAATATAATCAAGCAGAGTCAACATGGTTTCACAAAGCGTAAATCATGCCTGACAAATTGATTATAATTCTTTGAGGTGGTAACAAGCAGGACAGATGAGGCAGAACAAGGAATTGACTTCTAGATTTTCAGAAGGTGTTTGATGAGGTACCGATGTAAGGCTACTTAATGAGATAGTGCCCATGGTGTTGGGGATAGTATATTAACATGGATAGAGGATTGGCTAAATAAAAAAAGAGCAAGAGTTGGGATAAGGGGACGCTTTCATGATGGCAATCTCTAATTAGTGAAGTGCCACAGGAATCAGTGTTTGGGCCACAATAATTTACAATGTATTTGAATACATATTAAATCCAGGACCAGAAGACATAATCTCAGAATGAGGGATATGCCATTACTAGTCTTTCCTACTAGTGGAAACAGCTTCTCCACTTCCACTCTATCCAGGCCTCCTCAGTATCGTATAGTTTCAATGTAGTCTTCGAATGCAACAAATTCAAAATGGAGGACATAGTTCATGGTCTGAAGTTGTTGGACTCAATGTTGAATCCAGAAGGATGTAAAGTGCCCAATTGGAAAATGTTAATAACATTCAAGGTAGAGGTGTAAGATTATGAAACTTGTTATGGATATCAGGGAGGAAACAAAAAGCTGAAACTAACAAAAGTGATAATCAAAACTCATCCCTCAAACTTCCATGCTCTGCCCTTACTGTATATAACTGCATTTATCATTAATGTTGTTATATTTTTTACTCAAATTAGTGTCAACATATTTTTTGTACTATGGGTATATTTAAGTGCAAAACATGCTGTAAGAATGGTGTCAACTAGATTTAACCGTAGCACTCTTATCTTGGAGTCACATGGTCATGGGCTCAAGACCTCTGTAAAACTTTACCACAGAAAACTTAGGCTAATTGAGAAAATGTTACCTTGGACATCTTGACAATCTTTCAGACAAGTTAACAAAACTGCTTGGCTCAACCATACACTAGATTGCATGGCATTAACTGAAAAGAAGCAAAGAGGTTTTTGCGATGTCTTGATCAACTTTATCAACAGCAAAACAAATTATCTAGTCATTTATTTCTTTGACTTTGCTGTGTAAATTAAAAAAATTATTTCATGGGATGCGTGCATCATTCATTACCCCGCATTTATGGCCCATCTCTAATTGCAGATGGTGGCGGTCAAAGTTTCCTTCTTGAACTGCTGCAGTACTTAGGGGTGTATGGTTACCCACAGAGTTATCAGGAGGGGAGTTCCATGATTATTGAGCTGTCAACCATGAAGCAACAGCAATATAATTTGAGGTCAAGATGTTGTGTGGCCTGGAGGGGAATTTGTGGGTGGTGTTTGCATAAATCTGTTGCATTTATACTTCTAGGCCGTTGATTTAAAAGATGAAAGTTTGGGAGATTTTTTGAGACAGGTCTGTTGAATTGCTGCAGTGCATCATGAAGATGGGGTGTTAAAGGTAGAATTAATGTTAATCAAGTGGGCTGCCTTTTGCTCTGAGCATCCTTACCATCTCTTTCATTTATTTCTCCTCATCCTTTGTCAACTGACTTAAGCTTTTAACATTTAGCTGTGGGCATTTATTATAATAAATTTTCTAAATGCTTAAAAAGGACACTGAAGAAAATGTCTGTGATATTTGCTATGTTTGGTTCATGAATATAAATATTTTCTAATTTAAAAGAATGAGGATAGTGTTGGGAAGGAAATTTACAATTTGCTCCATCAAGCCAAACTGTGCCACAAATGGCAACTACACAAAAGTGTATATAACAAAATACAATGAGAAATAATGACAAATTTCAATGGCAACAGTCAAACAGAGATGTGGCCAAAAAAAGAGAATGACTACCCTCTAATGTATAGTCAAACCCATCTTCTCTAATTTATATTAGTTTAAAAACTTTCTTTCTGCTAATTGCTAACCTAATGCATCTATTCTGTTTCATTTGTCTAACATCTAATCATTGAATTAATTGTGAATTCCTGTGTGTTTTTTCTGTCAAATCACCAACCTCTTTGTCCAAAATTGAACCACTTCTTTTACAAACCACTGCTGCTTTCAAATTAACTTTATGATTTCAATCACGCAATTCTTTGGGAATACCACTAAAAACAATGAATAAATGAAAAAGATTTCACCAGCTTGATTTGGTCTGCATTACAGTTAGATCTACTAGATGGTATTGATTTTTTTTGTTTTATTTTAGATATGCGCTTCTCAGCTAAAATAATGATGAATGCTGCTTGAAAGTTAAACAAAGCTTTCATTACAAAAGTATAGTGACAAAACACTTTTTTTTAAACTGGATAACCGGGCAACTGTAGTGCTACTTTTAAAAGAAAACAACTTTACAGCCTGCAGATGTGAACAATCGTTTGATTAGATTATTCTATCTGCAGTTGTAGAGAAGTTGACAATTAGTCTATCCAAACGTGAACCCAGCTGGATAGCTGAGAATGAAAACTCACAGACTCATATATACATAGGAACTTGTCTTCAACTAGAATTATTCTATTTCTGGCAGTGATTTGCTCAATTTCAGAAAGATATGCTTTAAATACCTTGTTAAAATACCTAAACCCCAGTACAATGTAAACCATTAAAACAAAAATAAGTTAGAGGATGTAAATCTAAGTATACAGAATTTCATATGCCATTAGCCTAACAAAAAGCTAAGTTGAGTGTGTTTCATCTCTCAATATTACGTAACACATGGATCTATTTCAGGCAATGTTGGACTCAACACAATAAAATAGCTGCTCCTAAAATCTACAGCAAATATAAAACCTTTTACTCATTCCTTAAAAGTGACTTGTTCAAATAGGTCAATAAAGATACACCTTTCTATGAGGTTAACAATAGCTGTGCCATGACAAATTCAGTTCTTGTCATTATTCTGACTCTTTACTGAAATTCAGTTTTAACAGCCCATAATTAGGTGCTTAAAGAAAGTTTCACGTTCTCGGTTTTCCATTATTGGTATTTTAACCACAATTACACGAAAATGCGAAATTCTTTGGACAGGGTAACCATAAAACTTTTACAGTGAAGAAAGCAACTTTAGAAACATAGGACAGAAAAATTATGTGATATTGTTTCAATGCACATACATTGGTACAGTTACCAGTGCACAGCACATATCGGATTTCCAGTAGCGAGGTTTTTTAAAAAATTATAAATTGAAAAAGAAAACCTTCCAAGAATTAACATTTAGAAATTTGAAACACAATTATCCAATATAGCCTACCTCCCAACTTTTAGGAATTGGGTCACCGAAGAAATTGTCAATCATTTCCAGCTCATCCTTCTCTACCACCACAAATCCCTGGTCTTTGGCATCTTTCCCATATACTTCTGGTGACCACTGAACAAAGAATGCATACAGGTGATCTACCCTGGATGGTAGAAGGAAGGGGAAAATTCTGTTAAAATAGGTTACAGTAACTATGCAGAGCTTGGATATACATAACATGCTATTTAATTATCTGCGACTTCAATTAAGTTATCTCAACTGCATAATCTGAGAAATTGAACATTTGTACAAACTTGTGAATACGTTTAACAGAACACAACAGAATTATAATAACTATTCACATTGCAAGTGTTACACTGGCTGCGGACACAGGTGGAAGAGGCAGGAGGTCAGAGTGAAAGAGTCAAAGGGAAATTACAGTGGCCCTGATCCAAATTTTTAAATCATCTCTGGCCACAGGGGAAATGCCAGATGACTGGAGGACAGTTAAAGTGGTTCCACTTTAGAAGGAGGGTGGTAGAGATAGTCCAGGAAACTATAGACCAGTGAATCTAATATCAGTAGGAAAACTATTGGAGAAAATAGTGAAAAAAGGAAATTAATCTCCATTTAGAGATGCAAGGATTGATTGGGATAGTCAGTGCAGTTTTGCCAGAGGGAGGTCATGCCTCACAAATGTGATGGAATTTTGAGGAGGTGATCGAGTGTTTGGATGAGAGTGGAGCAGTTGATGTAGTTTATATGGATTTCAGCAGGGCTTTTACCAAGGTCCACATGGGAGACTGATAACGAAGGTAAAAGCTCAGGGGATCCAGGATAACTTGGCTAGATGGATCCAAAATGAGTTTAGTGACAAAAGATACAGGGTAGTCATAGAAGGCTGTGTGACTGAAGCCCAGTATACAGTGGTGTCCCATAATGCTGGGCACCTTTATTGTTTGTGATATTTATAAATGATGTAAGTGAGAATGTGGGAGGGATGATAATGTAATTTGTGGATGACACAAAGATTGGCCGGGTTGTTGACATTGAAGAGAAAGGTGTTCGGTTACAGGAGACTATGAACAAGTTGGTCATGAGTGGCAGATGGAATTTAACCCAGGTAAGTGAGAAGTGATGCATTTTGGAAGGAGGAACAAGATAAGGGAGTACACAATAAATGGAAAAAAAACTATGAAGCTCAGAGGAACAAGAGGGATTATCATAAAATCCCTACAGTGTGGGAGCAGGCTGTTCGGCCCATGAAGTCCACACCAAATCGCCGAAGAACAACCCACCCAGACCCAACACCCCCTACCCTATCCCTGTAACCCCACATTTCCCATGGCTAATTCACCTAGCCTCACATCCCTGGACACGATGGGCAATTTAGCATGGCCAATCCACCTAGCCTGCACATCTTTGGGCAATGGAAGCACCCAGAGGAAACCCACACAGACACAGGGAGAATGCGCACACTTCACACAGACATTCACCCAAGGGTGGAATCAAACCCAGGACCCTGGCGCTGTAAGGCAGCAGTGCCAACCACTCAGCCACCATGCTGCCCCCTAAGTCTTAAAGTGCTTGACAACAGATCCCCAAAGATGGCAGGACAGGTTAATAGGGCAGTTAAGAAGGCAAACCAGACACATGCCTTTATCAGTCATGACACAGATTTTGAAAGCACGGAGATCATGTTAGAACGGTACAGACCTTTGATTAGGCCACAGATTGAGTACTGTGTGCAGTTCTGGTTGCCACACTATGGGAAGGATCTGATTGCACTGGAAGGGGTGCAAGGAGATTCACCAGGATGTTGCTGGGGATGGAGCATTTTGGCTACAAACGGAAATTAGATATGAGATTGTTTTCTATGGAGTACAGAAGGTTGGGGGTACCTGATTGAGGTGTATAAGAGGTGGGGCATGGACAGGGGGAATAGACAGCATCTACTCCCCTTAGTCAAAGGATCAATAAAAATGGAGCATCATTTTCAAGTAAAAGAAAGGAGGTTTAAAGGGAATTTGAGGAAAAAAACATTTTCACCCAGGAGGGTGGTAAGGGCTTGGAGTGCACTGCCTGAGAGAGTAACTGAGATGGGAAACCTCACAATCTTTAAAAAGTACTTGGACAAGCACTTGAAGTGTCATTACATTTCAAGGCCATGGGCCTAGTGCAAATAGTAGTGTATTTTTGGCCGTACAGACTTGATGGGCGGAAAGGCCTCTTCTGTACTGATGATGCTGAGTCAATGAGACTCAGGTAAAACAGACAGGAGGGTCGGGTGCTGCCAATACTACGCAAAATAACGCATTATCTTGCATACATATAAGACATTTAATCAATGTCATTTCATTTTAAAAACCTGTACATAATATCTGGCAAAAATGAATGACTATCATTCGACCAAAATAATGAGAAAATACAATTTAAAACAAACGTGAGCTTTTAAAAAGTAAACAAAAATTCTGACACACTATGCACAATTAGCTACACTGGAATAAAAATGCTCACATCCTTTAAAAGAATACAAAGAAAGATACACCAAGTCTGAATCAGATGGTTTTTTGCTTGCAAGCATACCTGTTATATTTCCATACCAAGTAACTATTCATGTACAAACAGTTGAGAATAAAAATAAATACAGAGGTCAAGAAAATAGAAACATAGAAATTAGATGAAGGAATAGGCCATTCAGCCCTTGGAGCCTGCTCTGCCATTCAATATGATCAAGGTGAATCATCCAATTCGTACCTTATTGCTGCTTTCTCCCCACACTGTTTGATCCCTTTAGCCTCAAGAAATATGTCTAACTCATTCTTGAAAATATTTATGTTTTGGTTTCAATCATTTTCTGTGGCAAAGAATTACAAAGGCTCACCACTCTGTGGGTGAAGATATTTCTTCTCATTTCAGTCCTAAATGGACTACCCACAAATCCTTAAACTGTGAATCAGAGATAGTAGGAACTGCAGATGCTGGAGAATCCGAGACAACAAGGTGCAGAGCTGGATGAACACAGCAGGCCAAGTAGCATCATAGGAGCAGAAAGGCTGACGTTTCAGGCCTAGACCCTTCATCAGAAATGGGGGAGGGGAACGGGGTTCTGAAATAAATAGGGAGAGAGGGGGAGGCGGATAGAAGATGGATAGAGGAGAGGATAGGTGGAGAGGAAACAGACAGGTCGAAGAGGCGGGGATGGAGCCAGTAAAGGTGAGTGTAGGTGGGGAGTTAGGGAGGGGATAGGTCAGTCCAGGGAGGACGGACAGGTCAAGGGGGCGGGATGAGGTTGGTAGGTAGGAGATGGGGGTGCGGCTTGAGGTGGGAGGAGGGGATAGGTGGGAGGAAGAACAGGTTAGGGAGGCGGGGACGAGCTGGGCTGGTTTTGGGATGCGGTAGGGGGAGGGGAGATTTTGAAGCTTGTGAAATCCACATTGATACCATTGAGCTGCAGGGTTCCCAAGTGGAATATGAGTTGCTGTTCCTGCAACCTTCAGGTAGCATCGTTGTGGCACTGCTGGAGGCCCAGGATGGACATGTCATCTGAGGAATGGGAGGAGGAGTTGAAATGGTTCGTGACTGGGAGGTGCAGTTGTTTATTGCGAACCGAGCGTAGGTGTTCTGCAAAGCGGTCCCCAAGCCTCCGCTTGGTTTCCCCGATGTAGAAGAGGCCACAACGGGTACGGTGGATGCAGTATACCACATTAGCAGATGTGCAGGTGAACATCTGCTTGATGTGGAAAGTCTTCTTGGGGCCTGGGATGGGGGTGAGGGAGGAGGTATGGGGGCAGGTGTAGCACTTCCTGCGGTTGCAGGGAAAAGTGCCGGGTGTGGTGGGGCTGGAGGGGAGTGTGGAGCGGACAAGGGAGTCACGGAGAGAGTGGTCCCTCCGGAAAGCAGATAAGGGTGGGGAGGGAAAGATGTCTTTGGTGGTGGGGTCGGATTGCAGATGGCGGAATTGTCGGAGGATGATGCGTTGGATCCGGAGGTTGGTGGGGTGGTACGTGAGGATGAGGGGGATTCTGTTTTGGTTCTTATTGCGGGGACGGGATGTGAGGGATGAGTTGCAGGAAATGTGGGAGACACGGTTGAGGGCGTTCTCAACCACTGAGCGGGGGAGAAGTATCTCCTACCTACCAACCTCATCCCGCCCCCTTGACCTGTCCGTCCTCCCTGGACTGACCTATCCCCTCCCTAACTCCCCACCTACACTCACCTTTACTGGCTCCATCCCCGCCTCTTCGACCTGTCTGTTTCCTCTCCATCTATCCTCTCCTCTATCCATCTTCTATCCGCCTCCCCCTCTCTCCCCATTTATTTCAGAACCCCGTTCCCCTCCCCCATTTCCGATGAAGGGTCTAGGCCTGAAACGTCAGCCTTTCTGCTCCTATGATGCTGCTTGGCCTGCTGTGTTCATTCAGCTCTGCACCTTGTTGTCTCCTTAAACTGTGAACTCTGATTCCAGACACACTGTTCATCAGGAACACCCTTCTTGTGGTTACCCTTTCTAGAACTCATAGGTATAATGACAAAATAAATAAAATAATAGTACGATTTGAATTCAGGCGCTGCAAACAGAATTGTGACACATAATTTGTTCTGAAATATTGCTCTTAGTGCCTTTATTGATGCCTCTATTTTCATTGTGGGTGGACTGAGTAAGAAAACACTTGTTTCTGCCCATCTGCATACTTTCAAACTACATTCTGCAGCTTAATGTCATGAACAGGATGCTTATACGTTCTTTCCTACAAAAAATATTTAAGGTTTTTCTTTTTGCCATTTGCTTCTAATTACTAGTTGTTAGACTAATATAACTGAAGCAGAATTTGACTGAAGGAAGATACTCAGAAACACACAATCTAACCAGTAAACTTAACAAAAATAAGCCAAAAGCACAATCCACTGACAAACTTCTGATTTTTTTTTTGAAGAGTTGCATTATAAAGTAGAGCCCCCTAGTCATTTATTGTTAAGATACTGTACATGCCTCATTATGTAGAACATATTTTACCTAAGTTTGATAAAAACAAACACTGAAATGTATGATGATTATGATCCCACCTCCTTTTGCTACAAGCCTGGAAAAGGAACTTGTTTCATACTTAAAATGATATCAAAAGCTACAGCCAGCCAACTTGGTAGCCAGATTCTGAAACAACATTTTCTTAAGTCAGTACTCAATGTCTAGCTCGCAGTTCTATTTAATTAACAGTGGTCATAATATTGCTACCAAAAAAAGAAACTGCTGGAGAAACTCTAAGTTTGGCCACATCTGTGGAAATATTAACTCTGCT